CTTCTCTCTCCTTCTTAACAGCTCTATGACCCGACCAGGACTCATACCTGGTTGACATCATCAAAGTAAATGGGAGGACCTTCGACAAGCCGCCAGCTTTCTGTCCTCGTTGAAGCCACAAGGGTTAGTGGCCCTCGGGTAAATCAGGAACCTGCATAACTAGAGCGCATGGCCCGGCATGTGTAGTATTGGAACCACCTGGATAGCCAGTGTTGGAGGGAGTGTTGGAGTATGAGAAGAGAGGACGTTGGTGTGAACCTGACCTTCACACGCCAAGGCTCTGAGGTAAAACAAATTTACTTCTGGTGGTCTAGCCAGTGTTCCTCTCTATGTTCCCTCACCAGCAGTCAGCCCATGTGGTAGTTTTCCCACCATTACTGTCAGCCCATGTGGTAGTTTTCCCACCATTACTGTCAGCCCATGTGGTAGTTTTCCACCATTACTGTCAGCCCATGTGGTAGTTTTCCACCATTACTGTCAGCCCATGTGGTAGTTTCCCACCATTACTGTCAGCCCATGTGGTAGTTTCCCACCATTACTGTCAGCCCATGTGGTAGTTTTCCCACCATTACTGTCAGCCCATGTGGTAGTTTTCCACCATTACTGTCAGCCCATGTGGTAGTTTTCCACCATTACTGTCAGCCCATGTGGTAGTTTCCCACCATTACTGTCAGCCCATGTGGTAGTTTCCCACCATTACTGTCAGCCCATGTGGTAGTTTCCCACCATTACTGTCAGCCCATGTGGTAGTTTCCCACCATTACTGTCAGCCCATGTGGTAGCCCTTTGTAACAGTTCTAGCTAGTTCCAATGTGATACTATTTATATAAAATAAAAACAAGTTCTTACTAACATTGTTATGTAAAGACTTGTGCATTGCAATACAGTGCCAACATGACCTTTAAAACATGAATACAGAGACAACACAAAGAAATTTAGATTTTCGAAAAATTTATTTTCAAAGAATAATTCTGTAATTGCTGCTAACACCCAAACTTATGCATTGATAAAGATTACACAAAGGTTACTTTCATGTGACCAGACCAGGTTATGAGGAATGGCGAACATGTCTTACAAGCTAAAATGTACACTTTACATTCAGAGGTCTCCCAACCTGTGTCATTGGGGTCAAGGTGGCGTGTGCACCAAAGTCATCCTTGGCTTGGGGATTTGGCTGGAATGAGACACACATGGATAGAATAATATATGATAGTATGATTCTCTTAGTATATGTTCAAGGAGTCATGGGAAGCATTTACCAAACTGAACACAATTATTGTCAGTGATGTTTGTAGCTCAGCGTTAAGACACACTACCCAAACTATAAGCAATAAAAAAGTACAAATTACAAAATACAGTACCACTCTTGAGACTCCAATAGAGCACCATTCTTTACACCCTACATACATTACAAACAATAAAATTGGGATATGACACCTCACACTCATTCCTCATATTGTGGCAGACACCACCTGACACTTCTTTTGCCATATTGTAGGAAACAGCACTTGACACTCGTTTCCCATGTTGTGGAAGATGCCTGGCACTCGTCTCCCCATATTGTGGTAAATGACACCTGACATTCATTCCCTGTATTGTGTGAGACACTACCTGACACTCATTCCCCACTGTACTGTGTCAACATTAGCATTCAGCTGGATATTGTTGGGGACTGTTAATGGAATTTGACCAACACAAAGCAGTGAAGAAAGTTGGTCACCCTGTGTATTTACTATTTGTGCCTGCAGAATCGAGCTATTAGCTCTTGGACCGCACCTTTCTAACTGTTCTTTTTTTTCCTCTATTACGGCTACTAAATATATTTCTCTCTAACACACGTGCACACATTCCCAGGAAGCAGCCAGTAGCAGCTGCCTAACTTCTAGGTATCTATTGATTGCTAGGTGAACAAGTGCATCAGCTGAAAGAAACTCTTCCCCATTTGTTTCTGTCTTGGCCAGGAAATGAGCAATACCACTGCCTCTGCAATACCAAGCAATACCTGTCTCTGCCTGCCTCTGTGTATGTGTGTTAGAAATATAAGTACAGTAGTAGATATGACAGGAAAATAAGCCAGGAGTCAATACATTAGACAACTGATGGTTAGAAAGGCAGGGTCTAGGAGCCAACAGCTCAATCCTGCAGGTACAAATAGTGAGGTGAACTTCGGTAATAAGGTAATGGGACAGCAGGTAACATTGGTGCCCATGGACTGAGCAAGAGGATATGGACCAGATCAACAATGACATGTTGCAGATTGTGCTAGTATCTAAGGTATTAAGAAAGACTCGAGTGTGAATGTGATGTCGTGGCTTTCCCTTCAGTAGTAAGGTTTGGGGGGGGGGCCCACTGTACCATTGTTACAAGTATCAAGGGAGACAGAGGCAAAAGAGAACTGATCACACTGGGGAATGTAGGAGATGCCACTGTCACACAAGTAGTATGAAGAATGAGGAAGAGGCGATCATCAGAGGTAGTGCCAAGTCAGAGTCCAACACGATAGGATCTGTGGGACCATCATGAAACTTTTCCTAAGGTAAGGGAGGAGCAGAGCTTCCAGGGGGTATGATTCATGGGCCTTTTTGCCCACCACATGAGTCTGAGAGGGAGAAAGAATGAGAGATGTTGCAATACAATAAGCAAAGGAGGTTTGACCTTAAGGCCCTTGATTACCACCAATCAGAGCAGCAATGGGGACAGAGCAAGTTTTCCCACACACCCTCACCTGAACACCCAATCCATCCACACAGGATGGTCTCTCATGGCCAATGCCACAGATGGGTGGGACAATAACCCAAATGGGAATCCTATCACAATGGATATGTTAGTTGCTTATTGCTCCAACAGACAGGAGAGGGATGTAAAAAAAAAAAAACACTCAACTGTCCAAGAGCAATATACAAAATTCCCCTTGCCAATTCAGGGCAATACTCATGAAGGAGTTGTTAAGATCACATTATCTTTGATCTCCACAGCTGAGATACCAGGGTACCATTTCTATTTCCTAAACTTTGAAGATGCTGACCCATTATCTCTCTTTACACACTGTACATAGATTCACATGCATACACACATACAATATATAATGTTATTAAAGCTATTATTAAACCAACAGTAAAGTTATAACCATAACAAAATATTATATATTACAGTACTAATAGTAATAACAATATATTAACTCAAAGGAGTGAAGTATGGTAATGTATGTTATTTGAGCACAAGTGTGTTGTTGGGGAAGCAGAAAACTTCATCAGTAGTGGAAGTTATTAATGTGTTCACTCACTGAACATTCATCATCAAAATTAATATCTACAATATATATACTGTACATGCACACATACAGTACTGTATATGCATGTACAGTATATATATCCCGGTGAATTATATCCCGGGTCCCGGTAGTACAGTCGGCTTCGTTCTCGACGCACAATTGAAAATTCAGGGTTCGAATCCCAGGCAGAACAAAAAATGGTTTGCACATTTTCTTTCACCTAATGCCTCTGTTCATCTAGCAGTGAGTAGGTACTCAGGAATTAGTCAGCTTGTTGTGGGGTTGCATCCTGGGTGGGGTCAGTAATTCGGCCTTGAGGGAAACCTTGATAAAAAGCCAAAACGTGGGAGTGTGGAACATTTAAAAGATAATGGGTAGCCAAGACACTGTTCTAGAGAACAAGAGATTATGAATGAGCCAGGAAAGCACAGGAGCTCCACATCTCAACCAGGAGTTGGCACACAATCTCAACTCAAGAGACTGACAGTACACCTCACAAGCATAATCTACAATACACAACAAGACTAAGTTGGAGAAGGTTCAAAGGTATGCCACTAGACTAATTTCCGAGCTGAGAGGTGTGAGCTACAAAGAAAGACTATGGGAACTAAACCTCATGTTGCTGGAAGACAAAGGAGTTAGGGAAGACATGATCACCACATACAAAATTATCAGGGAAAATAATAGGGTCAATTAAGACATTATTTAATACGGGTGGTACTCGCACAAGGAGACACAGATGGAAACTGAGTACCCAAATGAGCCACAAAGACATTAGAAAGAACTTTTTCAGTGTCAAAATAGTTAACAAATGGAATGCACTAGGCAGTGATGTGGTGGAGGTAGACTCCACACACAGTTTCAAATATAGATATGATAAAGCCAAATAGGCTCAGGAATCTGTACATCAGTAGACTGACATTTGAGAGATGGGACTAAAGAGCCATAGCTTGACCCCCTGCAAGCACAATTGAGTACAGTTTGGCGAGTACAACAAAAATATAAGTAACGCCTACCTTGCCTGCAGTAAAGCTGTGAATGGGAAACTTGCAGAGTGGAGGGGGGGGGGATGAGGGAGGATGGACTCCAAATCTCTACAACCTAAAAGGACCTGAGAAAGTGTCAGTCTCAAACCAAAGAGGATAACAATTTTTTCCAAACAGACATAAACTATCAGTCCTGGGCTCATAAACCCAGGATTGGTCAACAGGCAACCAAGATACCTCAATGAGTAAACTTCTGGAACACATTCCAAGAGTTTGGGAAGAATTGCCAGGTGCTGAGCCCAAATCCAATACCAAGACCAAAGTATAAGACAAAATGGTTGGTACCATTCGTCAATGAGGACCTCAAAAACCCTGTGTGCTTGGCTCTTGAAGAACCCCATAGGAACAAGGGGTAAACAAGCTATGGAGAAAAGAACTCAGTAGACCCAGCCGAATCTCTCATAAGGAGAGGCCCAGGGGGCACGGCAACTAAGTCTGAAAGAAGAGACGTCTCTAACCTAGTACTGTCCAGTTCACTTGAATGCATGCACAAACAGTGGAGACTGAGAAATCAAACCAGCTGGGTTAAAAGGATCAAATTAGACATGTGCTTAAAAAATCTGAAAACTGAGGCTCAAGTTCAACACTAGTCACATTAACTAAGGCATGCAAATTATCTACATAATACAGGGAAATCTGTATTATGGAGTGGACACACCCAAGGATGAAATAGTCTATAAAACCAAGAGGCAAAAGACTAGGGCAGCAGGAATACCTGTCAAACTCTAGGATTGACTGATTGAATCTTGGAAAATTGTAAACAATGCAGTCCACTTCTGGCTCAGATGTGAGTCTTCATTACTTAAACCACTTGAAGGGGTAAAGAAACCACTCGGAAGCATAGGAAAATTAGTTATCTATTCGGGTTTTTCGGGGTTTGGTGCAATGGCGCCTTTCCTTTCCCTCACTTGAGGTTTACACAGACACTTCAGTTTGTGTTTGTGGTGGATGTTACTTCCGCTCTATCCCGCAAGCTTTCTCGTGTGCTTTTTCACCTTCGGCCTGCTCATGCGCCACCTGAACCTGCTTGGTCTTTGGACTGGGTTCTTTCTTTTCTTTCTTTCTTCCTCTTGGTTTGTGGTGGCTTCTTCAGTTCGAGATTGTTTTTGGAAAACCTTGTTTTTGTTCGCTTTGGCCTCTGGTGGTCGGGTTAGGGGAGGTTCGCCGGTTCTGTCTCAGTGGATGTGTTGTGGGGTTGATCCGGTTTCCCTAGTTCCCTGTTCCAGGGCTCATCTCTCTCAGGTTGTCCACAGTGTCATCAAGTCTAAACAGCTGGTGGTCTACCCTTGTGTCCATGATGTTTGGGAGTATGCCACTCTGTCATCTGTGTTTGTGAACATGTCTTGGAATGATATTCGGACAAACTGGTTTTGGAGGTCTAACAGGGTCTTAGCTGCCAAGGCCCTCTGTGGCCTTGTGTTGCTTTGGGGCATCAGTCGCAGCCAACGGATTCTAACCCAAACCCAAACAGGTAACCAGTTTTCCTATGCTTCTGAGTGGTTTCTTTACCTCTTCAATTGGTTTAAGTAATGAAGGCTCTCACTTCTGTGCCAGAAGTGGGCACAGAAGGTCTCTTCATGTTTATACTCCTGATGCTCCTCTTTCAATACACAGAGTAATTACACTAACGTGACAGCATCAATGAGAAAATCCATAGGAGCCGTGATGAGGATTCAAACCTATGCAGTGGGTGTTCCAATGCACACACCCCAGACAATCAGGCCTGAATCCTCATCACCGCTCCTACGGATTTTCTCATTCAAATACTGGCTGGTGGCAGCCCGGCTCCTGCCCCCAAATGAAGGAGGGTTTCATTTTTCAACCAGGCAGTAGCCTGTTTTGATTCGCCTACCTTTCTGTGTGCTTCCATTGTCAATGGCCAAATGACACCGTTTAAACGTAAAGTGTAACATTACTCCCTGCACCTCTCTGAGGGGGCCAAGTTCTGGCTCGTGGTCCCCGGTAGCCATACAAGAACTATGACTGATGACTAAGTAGTATGGTACTTAATCAGTACAGGTAGCTTCAGGGATGTGACGGGCCTCCCCACAGAAAGTTATTCTATGAGCTAGCGTGCACAAAAAATAAATAAAAAATAAGAGGTGGGCTATGACATCATCACAACACACAAATCGTGACTCAATCTGGAGGTTGTGGGACGCATAGATTTTTCAGAATGGACAAACTCTGCTACCTCCCTTCGTCTGAAACCTCACCACCCTTCCCTACCTATCTCAGTAACAAGACTAAAATTTAAATAGTGCCTTGAGTATTTTTCTTGGGGCTCTGGCATTAAGCTGTCAAGAAATAAAATGTGACCAGAATGTTTGAAAAACAAAAAATCTTATGCCAGCTTTTCTGAAATGTAAGTTATGGTTCACAGAATGAAGACTGTATGACACAAATACAGAGATACAGCGTACTGTACAGAAGACTGTATGACACAAATACAGAGATACAGCGTACTGTACATACCAAAACTGCAGAATACAGTTAAAAGCTTACCACATGAAAAAAATAATATAAACAAATGTTGAAGCAGATTTAATAATGTTTATATGATTATATTTATATAATGTTTATGAAATTTCAGAATTACAGGAAGACTGAAGAAGAATTAAGAGTAAAGCAGATGGAAAAGGTACATATTTACTTTATCAATATACTGTACTGATATTTACTTTCCCATGCTACAATAAATGGATTTTCGGAAAGTTCTGCATACAAATTAAGAACATCACTCTCCACATTTAAAAAAATAAAATAAAACATTTTCCTTACAAAAATGTTTGTTTTTATATTTTTGAGAAACACTTTACAACATGCTTACCAAATGGCAGATATGTGTGGCCCATCCTCAGTTATCAGCAAGATTCTTGACCTCATTAAACACATGAACCGCAACATCACTTAGAAATGAGGAAGCACAAAAGATGGCATTGGTGATTGACTGTGCCAGCACTGTGCAGGATGCAGCAGACATGTCCTTTCTCCCACACCTGACTCTGCTCTGTGGTTATATCACCAACACCACTGGCTGGTCTATGCCCCCAACACCACTGGCTGGCCTCTATTGGTTACACTCCCAGCACCACTGGTTGGTACACCACTCCACTGGCTGGTCTACACCCTCCACTCCACTGGCTGGTCTGTGTGCTTAATATCAACACGATCCTCTCCATGATAGCTTCCTTGGCTTTACTCTCCTCTCTTCGTTCTTGGTACAATAATTTGATAATCTTCAATATTTCAAAATATTTTTGTTACTTAGCATAAACTACACACACTTGCATACAAAATTTTAAAGCCATAAATTACCCCAATTCAGCAATACTGTAATAATAAGCAATTCTACATTCAGCATTTTCTGTGTTAAACCATCCAATCACTCGTCATGTAATCATCCAATATTCTTGACTGTAGCTATCAGTTTTTTAATGTGTTTCTCATTCATCTGAGTTACAGGCCTTCATATCAATTTATTTGTTACACTTTATGAATAAAATAAAATTTCCAATATATTTTACAGAAACAATATGTACTGTACCTCTGAAAATGAGTCTGGCTTGAAAATTTCAGCTTATGCTGAAATTTCCCTTCCCTTAAGGAAAATCATCTTACTCACAAAAATAGGTCCTAAACATTTTATCAATTAAGAATACTTTGTTTTCTAAAACAACTACAAAATTATACGTGAAATCTAGGTAACTTTCTTTCGAAAGGCCTGCGGAAAGTGGCGAGCATGAGTGAGAAAGAGACTGTGATATAAATGAGACATATCCACCCTTCCCGTACATCAAGAAGGGAGCCATTGAGAATTAGAACAAACACAGCACATCCTAGAGTCCATAGTTTTCTAAACTTGTTGTATTTCCGTAACATGTAGACCTGTAAAGGCAAGTACCAATTAGTGGTTGTGTATATTACTCTACTTCCCTCAATATATATAATATAGTACTCTACATGAAATTAAACTTATTTCATTATGTATCAGTTTATTCACTATAATAAATCACCGTGTCGGGGGACAGGAAGCCAGAGTGTATTCCATACACGTTTGGCTTTTATCGAGGTCCCCCCCCCCCTCCTCCAAGGCTGAATTACTAATCCCACCCAGGGTGCAACCCCACAACAAGCTGACTAACTCCTGAGTACCTACTCACTGCTAGGTGAACAGAGGTATTAGGTGAAAGAAAATGTGCCCAACTATTTCTGTCCCACCCAGAATTCAAACCCGGAATTCTTGATTGTGTGTCAAAGGAATCCAACTGTACGGTACTACCGGGACCCTCAGTAGTACATACATAACTATCGTTGCTTTAAATACCTTCCCAAAATTTCTTCACATTAATAAAACTAGACATTAGTAAAACTTAAGGGCTAGCTTGAATAACGTGTAAAGTATGGGTGCTAACTGAACATGAGCTCAACAACAGGGAATATAATCACACACACAATACTAAGAGACAAAAAATATATCATACTACGTAACACTTAAAAGTTATACAATAACCTTTAAGAAACTACAGTATTTAAACCTTTAAAACTACAGTACTGTATATATTTCTTAAAGCCATTGGAGAAAATGCAACTTACAGTATTTATAAAACGAGGCACATGCAACACTAACCTGCGTCATTTGCAGGATCATCTCGGTCAAAAAAAATATGCCATGCCAAGGTGAGGGACCGTCAAGCTCCTGCCGTAAATATGTTAGTTATCAGTACTTACAACTATTCAATTAAGTATTCAACATTTAAAAGACAAACTTATTGTGAATACAGTAATAGTAAAACAAAAAATGTTGAATGTAATTAAATGCCATTTTCTGGGTTGAGCCCCGGAGGCTCCCTGCAGCTAATGGACTGAAATTCATTATATTTGTCTAGAGCACCAGTTAACTGAAGTTCTTTGCCTACCGGGAACCATGAGCCAGAACCTGGTTCCCTCAGAGAGGCGAAGGGAGCAATGGCTTATGAACACTCCACTTTGTGAGAGTATAATCATGTCTGCCATCGACCTTTGAATCACCCAGAAAGGTGAGTCATTCGAATCATACGAATCTTTCTTCATATCACCCAGAAAAGTAGGAGGACCATTACAAACCCCAACTGGTAAAATATTGCAACCTAAGGCAGAACAAAGCCCAAGAACTCCTCCCAAGAGGAAACGACAAGCAAATGTCCACTCAACCAGCATGTCCACTTGTTGGCAACCAAACATGATGCACCCCACCCCTGACCAACCGAGCATCAATAACCCACGGACCCCTTCGGAAGCCCGCCACCTCATTCTTCACCAGAAAAGGAGACGGCTGTAAATGAACAAACCCCCCCCCCCCACCAAGGCCAAAAGAGCAGAAACCACTGCACTGGGAGAGAGCATGAAGCTCCCCAACCCGACCCCCAGAGGCCAAAGCCAACAAAAACAATGCCTTCCTGAAGCAATCCTGAACCAAAGGGGCCACAACAAACTGAGGAGAAGAGAGAAGAGAGAGCACCCAATCCAAAGACCACGATGGCTCAGGTGGCGCATGAGGAGGCTGGAGGGGAAAATGGCACGAGAGAGCTTGTGGAACGGAGAAGTGACAACAACCCCGAACGCAAGAGCTGGAGCGGCTCCGGCAGTTCTCTTGCCATTTCACAGAGCCTTCAAGACATTTCCAAGTCATCAGCATGTGACTGTCTTCATAGTTTACCTGATTTACCAAATTTACCTGAGGGCCACTAACCCTAGTGGCCTCGATATGGACAGGAAGCCGGTGGCTTGTCGAAGGTCCCCCCATTTGCCTTAATGATCTTTTCCATGCCGATTTTAAAAAGCACAATTTTGGCATTTACGGCTGTGGCAGGTAGGTGATTCCATGGGTTTATATCCCTGTGGGTGAAAAAGCATCTCTTGTCCTCAGTCCTACATTGTGGCTTGTTGAGCTTGAAACGTTGCTCCTTGTTTGTGTTACCTCTGACCTTTTGAATAAAGTGTCTGGATCAACATCCTCTAACTTGCTCAGTACAGTATTTTAAGTTTCAATGAGATCCACCCTGTCATGCCTTGTTTGCAGTGTAGTTAGCCCTGTGGCCTTCAAGCATTTCTGATACGAGAGATGACTTAGCTCTGGAATGACTTTTGTTGCCCGGTGTTGCACCTTCTCCTGAGCAGCTATGTCCTTCTGAAAATGAGGTCTCCATGCTTGGATACAGTAATTCAAATGAGGACAAACCAGAGATTTATACAGTTGTATAAATATGTTAATATTGATTAACTATTGTTAATTATTGATTAACTTCTTTTCCTTAAAGTCAAAAGTACACTTGATTATTCCAAGGTGTTGAAGACAGAGCCCTATCAACTTTGTCAAGGCAATTCTTGCTACACAGATGACACCTTTAGCTGCCTGGGAACAGTTATTTTTTTTTAATTCGTCTCTAAGCCTATCACTTTGGGATATAAGAATTTTTCCCACACTAGTATATTGGCAAAAGACTTTCCTTTTTTGTCATGCCAGTATCAAAGGTTGTACATGAAGAATTTCCACACCAGGTGTTCTGCATATATCATGTTCATCCATACCCATAAGATGTTTAGTTCACTTCATATCGACCCTGCCAAAGTGGGTATGTGCAGTGTTGGTATTATTAGTCTATCCACATTGTTATGTCTATCATTCCTATGGATTGACAACTGTATTTTTCTTAGTATGTACAAGTTTCCTTTCCGCTTCCCTGAGAATCATAGTCAAACATCCTCATTTAGAAAAGAATCACCAGAGTTCATTTAGTGCTTCCTGTAGTCTGTTACCCTTGCTCACTGTTCTTTTTAACCTTATTGCCAGCAGGTAGAGCAGTGAGCAGTGACTGAGTGATGAGCAGGTGGTATGATGAAAATGGCAGGTACAGTGGGGCCTCAACTTACTATGATAATCCGTTCCCAGAGACTGATCGTAAGTCGAAATATCGTAAGTCGAAGCGATTTATCCCATAAGAAATAAAGGGAATTGAATTAATCCGTTCCCCACCCTCCAAAATATTAACTTACAAATACATTTTATACTGAATACAATTTTGTTCTCTAACTTCAATACAGTACATATGTTTATCTTACCTTTATGGAGGACTCTTGATGGCGAATGGAAGATGGTGATGAGGGGGGGGGAGGAGGAGAGGTGTTACTGTTTGGAAGGGGGAGTCCCCTTCCATTATAACATCAGGTAGTGATGATTTTTCTAGGATACACACTCTGGCATGTTTTGCCTGCATACCTGCTTGTGGCTCACTGCTTGCTTGTCTTACTAAGAATCTGTCTAAAAACACTTGTTTTTCCCTACATTTTAACACTTGTCTGTAGTAAGACATCATATTGTCATTTAAAAGGTCAATGCAACTGCCTGCTACAGCTTTATCTGGGCGAGTTTTTTCAACAAAACTTTGCAGTTCTTCCCATACTTCACACATTTTCTTAATGAGGAAGGGATATCCTCTACTGCCTCAACTCACAACTATTTTCTTAGGTTGAACCTTACCACTGACTTTCTGGGACCCATGGCGTCATATATAATAATCAGTTTTTGTTCAAAAAGCAAAAAATCTCCAGAAAAATGGAATTTCTTATAGGCGTGATCGTCACTAAGCGGGCAGCTCTAGTAAACTGAGGCAGGTTGGCCCGCGTGACCGGGAACCACGCACTCGGTCGACCCAAATGTGCACCAACAAATATCGTTAGTCGACGACACTATCGTAAGTCGAGTCGCATTTTTCGATCAAATTTCATCGTAACTCGAAATTATCGTAAGTCGAGGCAATCGTAAGTAGAGGTGCCACTGTATAAGTGTAGGTTTGAACTTTTATAATGGATCCCCCATTTGTAACTTTCTGTTGTTGTCTAGACAGACCTTTGTGTCTAAGAAGGCCACCTCCATTTCACTGCTTTCTAACATAAATTTAAAATTCTCATGAATTCCATTAGACCAGTCAAAGTTCTGAAGGTCTTGTTCTCTCCTTGCAGCTATGCCAAAAACATCATTGCTGTATTTGTAGTAGTTCAGGGGTGCTGGATCTTATTGAAGAAAATCTAAAAGAAAGCAAATGTAGAAAGAAAATTAAGATTAAGCATTTTAAAGACTGGTGCAATATCTTACCTCTAGACTAGACATACTGATGGCTACTGCTCCTCTGTATATGTCGACAAAAATGCACAGTGTAGAAAGGACAATGCCCATCCAACCATACCATGGAACTGGCTTCAGCTTTAATGCAACGCCCACTGCAACAAGGTGAGCAAAAACATCAAAGGCCGGCAGGGTCTTAAATGAAATTTTGATACAGTATGAATTTCTCAATTTATTCACTTGTCTCATTTGACATCATCAATGAGACAGATATTACATTGCCAGATAATAATAAATCAACTTATAAATCATCTCGCTTCTTATCACACATATTACATTTACTCAGGTCAAATACTGTATCCAAATACTAGAGGTGTTAAAATGCATTATTTATACAAAATAAATAAAGTAAAATTCCTTTCTCTGAGAAAAACACAGCTTGACATTAATAATTATTCAGCCTAGATAAGCCAAACACTTATTACAGTACTACAGTATAATTGCCCGAAACGCCCGAAACGCATTGCGTAATAGTGGCTTTAGGCATTGTATGTACTAGTTCTATCTATATATCAATCCATTAATGTAACATCACTTGTATGTATGTACCTTACCTGAATAAACATATTTATTTATTTATTTAATTGTAATTTTTGCCATAGATTCAAGACAATATACTGTGGTTTGAGCTTAATGTAGTCTTGGTGAGAGGAAGGCTGCAGTTACAAGGAACAAGGGTCATAAATGATGCTAATAATTATCTCCAGGATGTGGATATCAGCATGCAGGTTGATATCCACATCCAGTCACAATAATGTGGCTGAAGTATGTTGACCAGACCACACACTAAAAAGTGAAGGGACGACTTGAGAATGGTCCAGGACAGACCGAAAAGTCGTCGTCCCTTCACTTTCTAGTGTGTGGTCTGGATATCAGCATATTACTCCTGGATAAAATTGACCCAAGTTGAAAAAGAAAGGCAAGCCCTTATGGCAGCTTACGGTCAACACCCTGTTGCAACTTATGGTCAACACCACACCCTGTTGCAACTTATGGTCAACACCACACCCTGTTGCAACTTATGGTCAACACCACACCCTGTTGCAACTTATGGTCAACACCACACCCTGTTGCAACTTATGGTCAACACCACACCCTGTTGCAACTTATGGTCAACACCACACCCTGTTGCAACTTATGGTCAACACCACACCCTGTTGCAACTTATGGTCAACACCACACCCTGTTGCAACTTATGGTCAACACCACACCCTGTTGCAACTTATGGTCAACACCACACCCTGTTGCAACTTATGGTCAACACCACACCCTGTTGCAACTTATGGTCAACACCACACCCTGTTGCAACTTATGGTCAACACCACACCCTGTTGCAACTTATGGTCAACACCACACCCTGTTGCAACTTATGGTCAACACCACACCCTGTTGCAACTTATGGTCAACACCACACCCTGTTGCAACTTATGGTCAACACCACACCCTGTACAGTGACCACAACACACCAGTTGCAACATCAGGATCTGCGGGTTGGTACAAGAATTCAACCAACTATGAACCACTTATTTTGATGAAAGGGAGCAGTAGAACAACAGAAGTGCACTTACACTGCATTAGGCTTGGATACCCATGTGAATGGGAAATAGGCTATCAGGTACCAGAAGATGAGAGGAAATGTCAGCACTGTGGAGAAATGCCCAACAGACCACAGGAACATTATCTAACACAGTGCAATTACAAACCCAATAAGATTTCAACTTAAGTTTAAGAGAGCAGAAGTTTTTAAACACATGGGGCATAATCTTACTGAAGTGAACATGAGTCATAAATACTCATACTCCGCTTAAGTAAAATAGAAACAAGGAACACTTAGTGGGCCAGCCAAAGGATTAGGGCCCGTGCAGGAATATCCTTGCAAAAAAAATTAACATTGAATGTAATGAAACGCCCTTTTATGGGTGAGCCCCGGAGGCTCCCCGGAGCTATCAGACTGATATACGATATATTAATCTGGGGCATCAGTCAATTGGAGTTCAGCCTACCAGAGACCACAAGCCAGAACCTGGCCCCCCCTCAAGTCACAGGGAGCAGTAGCCTATGGAAACCCCTTATGTGGTTGGGAACATTCCATGTCTGCCATCAACCAGGGTTAGGCACCCAGAAAGGTAGACATAACAAAATAGACCCCAATCGGTAAGAAATTGCAACCGAAGACCGAACAGAGAGGCAGAACTACCCCAAATTCTAAAGATCTTGGAAATTTCGTCCGTGCAGCCCTTCCCTCCCCAGGAGGAGGAGGGGAAGGGGGAGGGCTGCACACTGTCAAAACAGTTCCTTTATTTGAGCCAATATTTTGAAAAAATGTGGTGTAATTTTGCCCATAAAATTAGGGATGTGCAGAGTATTCATGCAGTCTTGCCAATGTTACAAACTTATGGAAAAGGACCTTGTGGACACCATCCTCTTTCCCATTGGGGTTCATGTGCTGGCAAAACCTCTATGGGAAAACTATGCCTCACATGTCAGGGCATGCTATCACCATATTAGCCCTTTACCAAGTCAGATTTATTCATACTTTTGTGCAAATGATGTATTCACCTAGTTGTGTTTGTGGGGGGTTGAGCTTTGCTCTTTCGGCCTGCCTCTCAACTGTCAATCAACTGTTACTACTATTTTTTTTCTCCACACACACACACACACCAGGAAGCAGCCCGTGACAGCTGACTAACTCCCAGGTATGTATTTACTGCTAGGTAATAGGGGCATTCAGGGTGAAAGAAACTTTGCCCATTTGTTTCTGCTTGGTGCGGGAATCGAACCCGTGCCACAGAATTACGAGTCCTGTGCACTATCCACCAGGCTACCAGGCCCCTATGTGACAGACCATGTGACACTCTTGCTATGTGAATAACCTACATTAATACATAATGTGCAAATAATATGTAGGGCATGGTATTACTGTATATTACAAATAATAATGCATAAAATAAAACAACTAGCCACCATTAAAAACAATAACAGAGTGATGCCCCAACATACCCATTGAAACATCCTTGTTGATGAACCCATTTGCAATGACACCATTTGATATACTGACAGCTTTTGAAGTATGTGAAGTAGAGCTGGCAGGCAGATTAGGTGCTGCAAGTAGCGGTGGCGGTGGTGGTGGTGGTGGCTCCAATTGTTGCATTTTGACATAAGATGGTGGGTGAAGGTTAAGGTCTGTTGTCATTTCTGCCAAGTTTAACCTGGAAGCGAGGGCTCGAGTACTGCTATATTTCTGCCTTGTCTTTTGAAGAAAAGTGTCTGCAAAGAGTATTAACCCTCTTTAATGGTTTACTCAATTAGATTTAAATATGCAACAAAATAATAAAAAAAACAACAACAACGTTGAATGTAATGAAACACCATTTTTTGGGACAGCCCCAGAGACTTCCTGGAGCTATTGTACTGATATGCGATATATTAATCTGGGGGATCAGTCAATTGGAGTTCAACCTACAGGGTGATCACGAGCCAGAACCGGGCCCCCCTCAGAGGGGCACATGGAGCAATGGCTTATGGTAAACCCCCCCATGTGGTTTGGGGGTATTCCTTGCTTGCCATCGACCAGGGTTAGGCACCCAGACAGGTAGGCATAACAAAACTAACCCCATTTGCTACGAAAATTGCAACCAAAGACCGAACAGAGAGGCAGAACTCCCCCAACACCCAAGGAAACAAGCAAACATCATACACCGCTGCCACACTGCTTGTCTGTGCAGCCCTCACACAGGGGGGAGCCCTGGATCCCCACACCGGCTGCTCACACCCCCAATTCGGAGGTTGAGCATTAAAAAGAAAACAGACTGCCAATCGGAGGGAGGGAGGATGCCAGGGAGCCTCTGGGGCTCATCCAGAAAATGGCATTTAATTACATTCAAAACTGGTTTTCTGTGGGGAGCCCCATTGGCTCCCTAAAACTACATAACCAAAGATAAGTAAAAGAAGGATTTACTCAGCAGGCGGCTGCCATGTGCTCCTCAACTCAAAATCGGGATAACTGGCTGCAACCTGCGACCCAAAGCTACACACGAACACCCAGGACCAGGAATATTTACCAAATACTGTAATGGATAACGGGCGACCAGGACCCTGTTCGCTCTCCAAAACCACGCTCCCGAATGTCAGCCCAAGACATGTTGCCCAAGAAAGCAGCCAAAGCAGCAAACTTACGAATGTCATGGCCACAAGGATAGACCACGGGCTGACTAGACTTAATAACCCTGCGGACGATCTGGGAGACCTGAGCCCTGGAACAGAGAACGAGGAAAACCAGATCAACCCAAAGCGCATCCCCAGCCATGGAGGCCAAGGCGCACAGATAACGGCGAAAAGTCGCAAACGGACACAACACATGATGCACCCTCAGCCTGACCAAGCATCAATGACCCAAGGGTCCCTCCAGAGAGCTGATGTCATGTTCTTCGCCAGAAAAGGAGATGGCTGTAACCGAATAAACCGACCACCAGGACCGAAAGAGCAGTAACCCCTGCACTGGAGGAGAGCATGAACCCGACCCCTGAGGCCAATGACAACAGAAATAGAGCCTTGAAAAACAATTTTGAAGAGAAAGGGCCACCACAAACCGAGGAGAAGAGAGAGCACCCTTTTCAAAGACCAGGATGGCTCAAGCAGTGCATGAGCAGGCCATATGTGAAACAAAGCATGTGAAAGCTTATGGAACAGGGCAGAAGTGATATCCACCCCAAATGCAAGCTGAAGCGGCTCCGCCAGCGCCACACAATACGAGGCGACAGTATTGAGTATCAAATGACGGTCCTGAAAAAGTCAAGAAAGAAAGGACAAGACAACCCAATCAGAAACAGAAGACAACCTACGAAGAGTGAAAAAATGGCAGTAAGAACGCCAGGAAACTTCATACTGAGGCCGAGATGAAGCTCGCGGTGGGACACCACCAACGAAGCAACCTGATCACCATACAAATGGTGATAGACCCGCATCAAAAAGACCCGACACGAAGAGCGGAAAAGAAGATCAAACCAGCCAAGTACCTGACTAGACTGATCTGCTGAAAGAGGCAGAGCCTCGGAAAACATCGCAGGTTCAGACATCGAGCAAGCAGCGCCTAAAACCAAGGTTGGGCCGGCCACCAAGGGGCCAACAGAACTACTCTCCCCTGTTAAGTTTCCAAACGAGCAAGGACCTGAAGCAACAGCTGGATCGGGAAGAAGATGTACAGGTAACCCCCACCTCGACCAGTCCTGCCAAAAGACATTCACTGTGACGGCCTCGCAGTTGGGGAAGGGCACCACATATATCGGCGGGTAAACCAGCAAGGCAAAGGTCAGACTCCCGTACAACTGATCGAGCAACTGCCAAGTGACCTGGTAAGCCTGACGCCTCACCACGAAACCTAACCAGTCTCAATCCCAGAAAAATAGGAACGTGCCAATACGCGTCCCGGTAGTCTAGGGACACCATCCAGGCAATGAACCGCAGATCCGAACAGTCCCGTTTCAGCACTGGAAACAGGCGGGAAACCTACCTGAGGAAACATGACCAGTCCCTGAATCCCAGATAAATAGGAACGTGCCAATACGCGTCCCGGCGGTCCAGGAACACCATCCAGGCAGTGAACTGCAGATCTGTACAGTCCCGTTATCAGCACTGGAAACAGGCGAGAAACCGACATGAGGGACTAAGTCGGGTCTGACAGAACCCATGCCACGCCCCCAACGAAAAGAAAGGGCAGTTTGCCAGCCAGGAAGATTCCAGAACCTCCAAACGCACCCTATACGGGGAAGAAGAACCAAACTCAAACGAAGACAAATCCATCACAGAGGCAGAATCTGGGTCTCGCAGGAGGTAAGCAGCAAGCTCCTCCCGAAGCTCCTTAGGTGAGATACAAGAGGCAGAAACGTCTGGAAAGAAGGAGCCAAGGAACCCAAGGGAACCCGGGGAGGAGCCCACTCCAAATTATACTTATGCAGGGAAGGGGGGTAAGAAAACCTCTCCCCCTCCCATGAGGAAGATTCGAACCCCGCACACTTAGTGCTTTCAAGCACACACCGTAAACCACTACACTACGACATGGTAAAAGCAATGCAACCTGGGATTCAACCGAATCCTCTACAGGTCCTGAGGCTTTCACTGAAGCCCAATCAGGGTTTCATGCATTGCCCTCGTGCACTCTTGACATGTGATTTCATTGTAATTACCTAAGTGGTAGTTACAGGATGAAAGAGGTACGCTTGTGATATACCATCTTCCTAGCAGCCTTTTTGCTGTAAAACGCTTTGAAACTAATGACGGTTTTGGTCTCCACCACCTTCTCGCCTAACTTGTTCCAACCGTCTACCACTTTGTTTGTGAAATTGAGTTTTCTTATATTTCTTTGACTGCTCTATTTAGTTAGTTTAAATCTATGACCTCTTGTTCTTGAAGATCCAGGTCTCAAGAATACTTCCGTTTCAATTTTGTTGATTTCCATTACTATTTCGTAAGTACAGTAGTGATCATATCTCCTCTTTTTCTTCTATCTTCTAGCCTTGGTACATTTAATGTCACTAACCCCCTCTTTGTAGCTCTTGTCGTCAGTTCTGGGAGCCATTTAGTTGCATGTCATTCCACCTTTTCCAGTTTGATGATGTACCTGTTAAGAATTGGGCACGATACAACTGCTACATATTCCAACTTTGGTCTCACAAATGTCGTGAACAATTTCTTTAGTATTTCATAATCCATGTATTTAAAAGCAATTCTAAAATTGGAAAACTTAGCATAAGTTCCTTGCACAATGTTCTTTATGTGGTTCTCAGGTGACAGTTTTCTACCTATAACCACCCTCAGATCTCTCTCTATCAGAATTTTTTAAAGCTTTTTCACATAATTTTGTATGTTGTATGTGGTCTATTTTCTCCTATTCCATATTCCATAACATGGCATTTATTCACATTAAATTCCATTTGCCAAGTGGTGCTCCATACACTTATTTTGTCGAGGTCTTCTTGAAGGGCATGCCAATCGACTAAGTTTTTTATATTCCCTATTATCTTAGCAGCATCAGCAAACATGTTAATATAATTCGGAATTCCTTCTGATAGCTTGTTTATGCAGACAATAAACATTACTGGTGCAAGAACTGGACCCTGTTGTACTCCACTCGTGACATTTCTCCAGTCCGATACATTGCCACTGATTACTGCCCTCCTTTTTCTGTCAAAAAAATTTTCATTCACGTTAGAAGCCTCCCTGTCACTCCTCCAGTACGTTTCAGTTTCCAGAACAACCTCTATGTGGGGACTTTGCTCAAAGCCTTTTTTAGGTCCAGATAAATGCAGTCAACCCAACCATCTCTTTCCTGTAAAATCTCTGTGGCTCTATCATAGAAACTAAGTAAATTCATTACACATGCCCTTCCAGATCGAAAACCATACTGTCTGCCTGTTATTATATTAGTGTGCTCCATGTGATCTAACCATTTGGTTTTAATTAATTTCTGATATTTTGACTACTACACTTTGTGGTAGTCAAAATACCGGAATATTGCGCATTTGACGAGAAGCGTTGTAGATAGAACTCCTGAACCACAGCCAGACTGCACGGGAGCAATGTGTAAAACCCTGATTGTGCTTCAGAGTAAGCCTTGGGACCCTTAGCGTATTCAGTTGAATCCCTGGTGACATTGTTTTTACCATCTCGTGGTGTAGAGCTGGACAAGCAAATTCTTGTCCAGCTCTTCAAGGCTTCTGAAAAAAACAAAATTCACCAAAGCAAGGTTTGATTGTACCAGTACCTAACAAAACAATATATTTGAAGTACAGTAGTGTACAGTATTAATATTATCTTACCAAATTCAATAAATGCATAGGGTCTTCTTACAGACTTAACAACAGAGGCAGTGTAGAGGATATTAAACTCCTTCATCAGCTCATCAAGGAAGCTGAAGGCAAGAATGTGTGGATAATTGGGTTCACACACAACCATATAAGCGGTGCAATCATCCACTACACACCTGAAAATAACAGACATGCAGACGATAAGTCACAATAACTTGGCTGAAGATGATGACGACCAAACCAGACATCAGAAAATGAAGAAACAATGACGTTCCGGTCCGTTGACTTGATAATGGTCCTGGACGGATTGAAACTTTGTCATCTCAACATTTTCTGATGTGTGGTTTGGTCATCAAAAAACCAGCATTGCATGTAATGAAATGCCATTTTCTGTATGAGCCCCAGAGGCTCCCTGGAGCTATCGGGCTAATATGCAATTCATTAGACCAGGGCATTAGTCATAGGATATCAGCTTACCACGAGCCAGAACCATGCCCTCCCTCAGAGAGGCACAGAGAGCAATGGCCCTGAAAACCCTCCCTGTGGTTGAGGGTTTTCCTTATCTGCCATTGACTGGGGTTAGGCACCCAGAAAGGTAGGCATAACAGAACAGACCCCACATGGTAAGAAAATTGCAACCGAAAACCGAACAGAGAGGCAGAACTCCCTACAATGAGCAGGCCAGAGGTGAAACAAAGCACAAGAAAGCTTACGGAATGAGGTAGAAGTGACATTCACCCCAAACGCAAGCTGGAGCGGCTCCAACAACGATGCATGATACGAGGCGACAATATTAGTCCTTAAAATGACGGTCCTGAAAAAGCCAAGATAGAAAGGACAAGACAACCCTATCAGAAATAGAAGACAACCTACGATGAGAGAGAAAATGGAGGAATGAAAGGCAGGAAACTTCATACTGCCGCCGAGACGAAGCTCTCAGGTGGGACACTATCAATGAAGCCACCTGATCATCATACGAATGGTTAAAACCCGCATCAAAATGACCACACGCGAAGAGCGGAGGAGAAGACCGAACCAGCCATGTACCAGACTGGTCCGATATGCTGGAAGAGGTGGAGCTGTGGAAAATGCCCTGGGTTCGGACCCCGAGCAAGCAGCGCCTGAAACCAAGGCCCTGAGCCGGCCACCAAGAGGCCAAGAGGACTACTCTCCCCATTGTAAGACTTCAACTGAGCCAGAACCCAAAGCAATAGCAGGACTGGGGGGAATAGGTACAGGTAACCCCACCTCGACCAGTCGTGCTGAAAGGCAACCACCGCGAACGCTCCGCAGTCGGGAAAGGGCACCACATATATTGGGAGACACCGTGACCAAGCTGACGCGAAGAGGTCCACCTCCGGAAGCCCGTACATCCGGCAGAGCTAACTGAGGGGATCAGTGTCATCCGTCCATTCCAGGGACAGGGGAATGAACTGAGACAGGCCATCCGCCAGGACATTGGACACTCCCCGGATATGAACCGCAAGGAGAGCCAAACCCCGAGAATCCAGCAGACGAGCCACTGGAAGCGACTAACATCAAAGAGGTAAGTACCGAAGAGAACCTCCGCAGTTCAGGCAATGAACCACCAGAGAACAGTCCGAATGGAGCCAAACAGTCGCGCCCCGAGCAACCCGAAACCCTCCAAAGTAACAGCCAGACCGCCGTGAACCTTCCAGACCTTCCACACCATGCTGTAAACCCATTGGCGGGACGGACCCCACAGCCCCTGGTCGGCCTGGTGAGCACTGTCACAAACCCCCAGCCGACATACGACGTGTCCGTTAACATATCGAGGGCAGGCTCGAGTAGGTGCCAAGGCACTGAACCCCGAAATACCCGAAGACAAAGCCAGTGACGCAGCAACTGACACAAGGCCCCCGGAGGGCAAACCCAGCGGTTGCGAGAGAGGCGGAAGGGGCATCCCTGAAGGAACCAGAACAGATGCCAAAGCCAAACCAAACCCAGCAGGTAAACCAGTACGGTGAAGTTCAGACTCTTGCACAACTGCTCGAACAACCACCGAGTTACCAGAGAACCCCCCAGAAACACCTGAAGACGGAACCGCAGCTGCAGCAATGCCTCCGGAGGGAGAAATATTGAAGTGGTCCGAGAATCCAAAACAAGACCCGGCCAGGTTTAAACCTGGGACAGAACCAGATGGACTCCCTCCAGTTCACCAGGAACTCTAACCCGGCGAGCTGGGAAAGAACCACACCCCTGGCGAGCAGACAAGCCGACTGGCTGGGAGCCCACACTAGCCAGTCATCAAGATAGGCCTGAACCCTAACCCCTAGCAGACTCAGATGGGTCACCACGACCCGGGTAAGACGCGTGGAAATGCGAGGCGCCAGATTCAAGCCAAAAGGTAGACAACGAAAGCGGTGAGCCTGATGCCCCACCACAAAACCTAACCAGTCCCTGATAAATGGGAACGTGCCAATATGTGTCTCTGAGGTCCAAGGACACCATCCATGCACCCGGCTCCAACAGAAGCCTGACCCAAGGCAAAGTAGTCATCTGAAAGGAGGGGCAAAGAATCCAGGGGGTTCAGACGGGACAAGTCCAGAATGAACCTCAGATCCACACAGTCCCATTTTGGCACTGGAAACAGGCGGGAAACCCACCTGAGGGATGGGGTCGTTTCGACCACGCTCAAGCGTACCCACTCCGAGATGTCCTGACGGAGTGCAGGGGAAGAAGCCTGCCCCACCAGCCCCGAACTTCCTGAAGGAGGAGGAGCCGCCCAATGCCACCACAGGCAGGTGGATACTACTCGAAATGCCCATAAATCATGGGACCAAGGGTGAGCAAACAGCGCAAGCCTCCCCCCCCATTGCCTCATCAACGGGGTGAACTGCAAAAGGGCCGACGCCCCTTACGAGAAGCTGACTGATGAACATAGCGATCATCACGCCGACTAGATGACACCGGCTCTGAAGGTAATGCCGGCTCAGAAACTGGCACCAATGACCCACCCAAACCGGAGGAACCCCGAGCCCTGGCACGACCCTTCGGAGAGGGCCAAGAACGGCCACCCCAGAGAACTAACAAGTTCGACAGAGGATGACAACTAGACAAAGCCACCTGCAGAAACTGAGTGATCGCAGACTCCTCAAAAAGCAACGAAAATGTTGCTCCTCAAAACGGCGACGAAAACTTAAGAGCCAGGGCCCAAGCGGGTTCCAAAGAGAGAACGAGCACAGCCTGCCTGCTCAAGAGGCATGAAGCAAAGAACAGAGACACCGCCTGCTTGAGAATCAGCGCAAACAGCAGTAAAAGCACGCCCTATGCCTTAGCCGCCAAGGCCAGCATACTAGATGAAGGCCCAGCACTCAATGCATCCACATCCTCCTCTAGCCAGTCTGAGGACAATTCGAGAAGGGAAAAGAAGCGCAAGACCAAAGCCAAATGCCCCCAAGTGCACATGTCCTCAGCTACCAAAGACGTCGTAAGGTGGGAACTTGCACGTGCAGCTGTAAAAGGCCAACTTCCTGAGGAAGCATGGGGGCAAACAAGCATGCATTAAGGTGCTCAAGTCTGCCCCTAGGTAAACCTGAAGAACGGTAGAAGTTTCTCACCATTCAAGCGTGCGGGTCCGACAGAACCGATGCCACACCCCCAATGAAAAGAATGGGCAGTCTACCAGCCAGGAAGACTCCGGGACCTGCAAACGCACCCAATACTGGGAAGAAGAACCAAACTTAACCGAGGCTAGATCCATGATAGAGGCAGAATCTGGGTCTCACAGGAGGTACGCAGCAAGAGCTTCCCGAACCTCCTAAGGTGAGATCCGAGAGGCAGAAAACCTCCGGAAGGAAGTAGCCAAGGAACCCAAGGGCAGCTGACTCCAAATCATACTCATACAGGGAAGGGGGGTAAAAAAATCCTTCCCCCTGCAACAATAAGCCTACGAAGAGGGCACAAACATCCAAGTGGGGTCAAAGGGGTCCCAAGCCCCCCAGGTCAACTCCTCTCAGAGAGCAGCGCAGTCATCCATACCCCTCTACCCCTGAAGAAAAGGCTGAGTACAGGGGAAAGGCAGAAAAGAATGGGGCCTGCTGGTGGGACCCAGAAGCCTCGACAGGAGGAACCGGCTCGAATGCCTCCGTCCCCAACCCTTCGAGTGCTTGGGCAGTCCTCGAAGCTGTTCGAATCTAATTACCAACTAAATCCTGCTCAGACTCTGAAACCCTCAGATGTTTGGGAGCCGGAAGCAGGGGAAATTGGGGGGGGGGGGAACAGGGCGAACAACAGGGGAGGGACCAGGAAGCGCAGATTGAACCCAAGTCGAAGCGACTAATGCCTCCAAGTCCAAGTCCCAATAATCAAAACGGGGTACCTGGGTGGGCGACCACCTAGCGCGTTGCAGCAACCTAAACCTAGCATGCAATGCAGATGTCACTTGTACCCAAATATTACTTATCAGAATAGGTAAATTGGAGAACATGCAGAGAACACAACTTGCAAGACTCCGGGTCATAGGTGTCGTTGACCCAACAGGCAGCATGACGGAGGCAAAAGCGGTGACTGTCACCCTAAGACAAGGGCACACGGCAACCTTCAAACTCCCACAAGGTGAGCTGAAATTCTGAAGACGCATCCATAGGTCCACCGAGCCCCGACAGGGTTTTCCAGGGCCCGTAGGCTGACTGCTACGGGAAGCCCGGGCAAGGTGTTGCAAACCGGTTAGACCCAAAGCTAACAAGGGGGAAGATCAACACACTGAAACCCCTGCGACGTGTACAATCACAGGGGGCCTAGCAGAGGGCTACCAAATTATTACAAGTGGACCAATAGCTAAACAAGGCAGACCCCCACCAAGCAAAGCAAGCAAGAAGAAAATAAAAAACCCTCAAAAGTACAATGTCTCTAGAGGAAACAGGAACTGACCGCTATGTAGGTAGCTGGCTGCGTAACACCTCGACACCCCAACCAGCAACAAAACCACTCCCTACCCAAGACAAAACAAGGGCCACAAAACCCCAGCGGGCCCCAAGGGCGGGATAGATGCCAAGCAGCAAGAACGACCTACAGAATTGGCGTCCCAAATGCACCAGGGGAGATAACCCTGACATGCAAGGGTAGTACTCACAGGGCACTTAGGAATGGCTGCCCAAAGTTCATGCAGCCCCGGTACATTTAAGGTACACCTGGCTACCACACACCATGAACAGTAGGTGACACCACTAAGGCAAAACACTGTGTAGGAAATCGAAGCCAGAGATAACGACTGCACTGGATTGCATTAGCCAATAAACTGGAACTGCTGGGTTGCTGGACTCCTATGACTTTAGACTTTAGAACTTAGGACATTAGACCCTGGTCTAATGAACTGTATATTAGCCCGATAGCTCCAGGGACCCAAAGTGGCTCCCCTCAGAAAAGACATTTTAAAGAATGCAAAAACACACTTATATTTATTGTACTTTAGTAATACAGAACTGCATATTGATGGAGTGCAAGACTGTCTCCTCTCTCCTGTAAACTGATCTGATCATGACATGTCTGGTCTGTCATAAATGTCACAGCTTGAAATTAATTCATCAAATTAAAAAAATCAAGCAATGAATGTAATTAAATCCCTCTTTTGTGATGGACCCCCAGTGGCTTCCTGAGCTTAACTCTAATACAATCAAGCCTTAGCCCAAAACACCAGCAGCCTGTTCTCAGAGCAAATCCATTACCACGAGACACCAAACACCACCTCAAATCACTGGATAGTTATCTAGATATTTGTGATGGTCTGAAAGCATATTATAGTTCCAATAATAGTCTGCTTGTAAACTGGTAGGTGAACCTTTGTCCTAAACATTCTCAAGTTATAACTTTATTGTGTTATAAATCATTGCTTTAACTACTGAACTGCTCTGCCTCCAAATATGGCAACCCCCTGGTGCACAGGAAATAAATTCTTTCCAAAAAATTATTTTCTCTTCTTATATTGTTAAAATGCTGTCTCTGATCATGGGAAACTAAAAAAAAATATTGTATGTACCATACTTTAGCCGCAATGGAGCTGGGAAGTCGAGCGAATTATGAGCGCTGGGGGTGAGTCGGCCCCGCCATCCCGTGGGGCGGCAGTTGCCGCGAATATAATGTTTCACAATTATATTATATATACCAGAGTTAAGCTCAAAGCCACTGAAGCATCCCTCCCTGAAAAAGAAAGAAAAGTAACCCAATCCTTGCACTTACTGGATGGTGATCTCCTCAGCCTGCAAACACACACGTTTGCCAAACTTGGCCAGCTGTTTGCTCAGTAATTTGACACATCTCTTCCCTTCTCTCACACGTTGGTCAGCATCACTGGCAAAATCTGTAGTTGCAGAGAGAGGAGTTCCATCTGCTAACCGCGCTAAGCATGCATATACAATCATCTGTTGAAGAAGAAACTGTTGTGGAAAAATATAACTGCATTTGATACCGAGACGTGTCGTCTGTTTCATAACTACAACTTATCCAGCAGAAAATTTGCACCAAACATCACAAGTCTAATAGAATTCTATGACCAGGTGACAAAGATTAAGCAAGAAAGAGTAGAGACTAAGCAAGCAAGACTGTATTTTCTTGGATTGTTGAAAATCCTTTGACACAGTACCCCATAAGAGGCTGGTGCAAAAGTTGGAGAAACAGGCAGGAATAATGGGAAGGGTGCTGCAGTGAAAAAGGGAGTACCTAAGCAATAGGAAGCTGAGAGTTACTGTGAGAGGTGAGGCCTCAGAATAGAATGGTGTCATTAGTGGAGTCCCACGTGGGACTCCACTAATGACACTGTACTCGGACTTATCTTATATTTGATATGGTGATGCTAAAATTACGAAAAGGATTAAGACAGAAGAACAGCATGAGGTTATAAAATGACCTGGATAAATTGAAGGAATGGTCCAACAAATGGCTATTAAATTTTAATCCGAGAAAATGTAAAGTAATGAAGATAGGTGTTGGGAGCAGAAGGCCAGATACAAGGTACCATTTGGGAGATGAAATTTTTCAAGAACTGGAGTGTGAGAAATAATCAAAGAGAATGACCAGGGAGTTGACCTGTCCCCTAAAGCCCACAATAAGAGGGTATCAGCAGCAGCATATGCTAGGTTGGCCAACATAAGAACTGCTTTCAGAAACTTGTATAAAGAATCATTTAGGACTTTATATGCAGTACCACATATGTTAGACCAATCCTGGAGAATGCACCCTCAGCATGGAGTCTTTATCTAGACAAGAACAAGACTAAAGTGGAGACGGTTCAAAGGTATGCCATTACACTAGTACCCAAGCTGAGGGATAAGAGCTTCGAGGAGATATTATGGGAACTGAACCTCACGTAGCTAGAAGAAAGAAGACTTAAGGGGAGACATAATCATCACATACAAGATTCTCAGAGGAATTGATAAGAGTAGATAAAGGCAGTTTATTTAACATGCACATGCACAAGGGGACACAGGTGGAAACTGAGTGCCCAGATGAGCCAGAGACATCAGAAAGAACTTTTTTCAGTTTCACAGTTAACATATTGAATGCACTACGCAGTGATGTGGTGGAGGCAGACTACATACACAGTTTCAAATGTAGACAGGATAGAACCTAATAGACTCAGGAATCTGTACACCATTTGATTGATGGTTGAGAGGAGGGACCAAATAGATAATGCTCAACTCCTGGAAGCTTAACCTTGTAATCACTTAGTTGTACTAGATGAGTACAACTAGGTGAGTACACTCTGATGAGCTAAGATTTTCATTAAATGTTAGTCCCTTCACTTGAATTTTTTATAGTTTAATTTGCCATACTGTATGGTTTATGGTTTATATTTATACCTGATTGTTTTGTGTATGAAAAGTATGAGTAGTATTTTGTATAAAATGTATTTTTTTGTTATTATTTTTAGGGGTGTGGAATGGATTAATTCAATTTACATTATTTCTTATGGGAAAATCCGTTTCAGTTTTCTTAATTTTTGGTTTTCGTAACATTTTCATTTTCAAAGTTCATTATCACATTTTATTATGGTTTATTAGACCATAGAAAGAGAAAGAGAAAGAGAGTCGCCTAGAAAGATTCTCTTTCTAGGAATAATTATAATTATATAATATTAATTATATAATTATAATTATTATAATAATTTTTGTATTTAATAATTATCACTCTTCCTTCTGCTTGATCTTGAAGAAAGCCGACCTCGGGTGAAAGAGACCAGCTTTTATATATATTATATGCGGAAAATCCACATAATCCATGAAAAGTGGATTTTCCGCATAAAAATGATCCGTGTTTTGTGATCGTCAATTGCATATAAATTATATATATAAGCCGGCTATATATAAGAAAGATATAATTATATATCTTTCACCCAAGGTCGGCTTTCTTCAAGACCAAGCAGAAGGAAGAGTGATAATTATTAAATACAAAAATTATTATAATAATTATAATATAATTAATTAATAATTATCACTCTTCCCTCTGCTTGGTCTTGAAGTCAGCTGGCCTCAGGTGCAAGAGGGCTGTGACGATGTGCTGTGATTTCAGATTCAGATTCTTTATTCAGGTAAAGGCACATCCATTGAGTTACATACATAATGATGGATTTAAAGATAGAGATAGTACATACAATACCTAAAGCCACTAGTACGCATAGTGTTTCGGGCAATTTGGTTAATTATACTGCTTCAGTAGAAGTATAATTAACTAAATAGTACCTCAACGTCTTGGACCCGAGTCCATGGTTTACGTCAGAAGAGAGATGAAAGTGGGGCGACTTGTCCCATAACCCAGGAAGTTTAGAGCAAAACCATATGACAACTTCTAGTGAAATATCATACCTTATCATTGAAACTTTCAACCAATTCACTTAATTCTACGTTTATCTTGTGATGATTATACTATTGGGTCAAGTCTCTTGGCGCTGTATGAAGCAGAAACTAGAGTAATAAATATGGGAGTGTAGCGTAGAGCAACCACCCGCTGTCGTGTCAAACAGTCAGCTGGAGTTTGTTTACATCCTCATAGTATAGACGACACAAGGTGACACACACAGAAGAGCATCAACAATCGTAGCCGGTCCCACTGAATTTACAGTTCCGAAGGCTTTCACTGGAAATTTGGAACTTTCAATACAATCTGAACCTCAAGCATCCCATTAATATTTGTCTAATTAATGACACCTGGTATGAATGACTAAGTCTATGTGATTCTAACTGATATTTAAAGTGCTCAAACATCTTCATCAGCTCTTGACACCATGAACTAACACCTCCTTTGTCTCACTTCAGGCAGTTTGATTAAACTATAATTAAGTGTAAAACTCACTTAGGAGGGTTCCTAAAATATGGAACCCTTCTAAATTGCATTTTTTTTATACATAATATACAAGAGTTCTTACTGGAGTCGGGCAGGGCCTGGCTATACCTGGACACAGTGTTGCCAGATTGGGCTACAAATAGCGAATTGGGCTACTTTTGAGAGCCCCGCGCTCCCAAATTTTTAATTTCGCTACTTGCTACTTTTTGGGCTAATTTAAAAGCAAGATGTGCTAATTTGGGCTATTAATGCTAAGAATGTACAATTGCGAGTTACATGAAAGTAACTATGCTATAAATAATTGTAATTAATAATAATTGTAAATATTAATTAATACTAAATAATATTATTAATTTACAAAAAAGCCTCCAGATCTTTAGCCCCGGCTATTGCATTGCTCTTCAACAAGTCACTTCAACTCAAAACCTCTCCAGATATTCTAAAAAAAGCGAGAGTAACGCCTATCCACAAATGTGGTGATCTCACAGATGTTAACAACTACAGACCTATATCAATCCTGCCAAACTTGTCAAAAATATTTAAAAACTAATCTACAAGCAGCTTTACTCTTATCTAGCCAAACACAATATACTTAGCCCTTGCCAATATGGCTTCAGACCCAAAAAAGCACTAACGATGCACTTATTAGTATGATTAACTTGATTCATGCAGCTCTTGATAAAAATGAGTTCCCTGTTGGGTTATTTGTGGACCTGCGTAAAGCTTTTGACACTGTCAACCACCAAAACCTTCTTTTTAAATTACATCATTATGGAGTCAGAGGACACTCCCTGCAATACCTCAAATCTTACCTTACTGACAGGCTCCAGTATGTTTCTGTGAATAATTCAATTTCTCCCACCCTACCCATCAACATTGGTGTTCCTCAGGGCAGCATACTTTGCCCTCTCCTCTTTCTCATCTACATTAATGACCTTCCAAATGCCTCCCAACACCCCAAACCAATTCTATTTGCTGACGACACAACCTTCATTTACTAAAGTCCTGACGCCCTATTACTCCCTCATCTATCCTTATCTCAACTATGGTATTTGTGCTTGGGGTTCTACTACCCAAAATCATTTACGTCTTCTAATTACTCAACACAAAACTGCTATTAGGACAATATCCAACTCTGGCCCCAGACATCACTTGGTACCCCTATATATTATATATTATATATATATATATACCCCTATATATATATATATATTATATATTATTATATATATATATATATATATTATATATATATATATATATATATATATATATATATATATATATATATATATATATATATATATATATATA